AAGATATATGAAAATGCTGTACCTGTGAGCATGCCGTTTTGGGAGGAAGTCGCATCCGCACAGTGAAATTTTGTAATTGCACCTAAATAGCACTAAACTTGTATCTGGAAGAAGTCCTCCTTGAGAGGTGATATAAGTTTAGATGATTCTCATGGTCAGAATTTAGGGTTTTATTTTGATTTGCTTGTTTTGAATTTTGCTCAAAGCTACACGAGGGCTATCTGTGCTATCCATTCCTAATTTAGCAGCGTAAGATTAGAGGGAAGGCAGCTAGTCATCACCATCCACCGCCAACTCTTAGGCTACTATTTTACCAACGAATAGTGGGATTGACCGTCACATTATAACGCCCCCACGGCCGAAAGAGCGAGCATGTTTGGTGTGACGGGGATTCGAACCCGCGACCCTCAGATTACGAGTCGAGCGCCCCATAATTTAGGGATTAGTATCTGCTAACCTGAGTCAGCTCATGTGTGTAGGAACCAGTTTCAGCAGACTTGGCCCCCATTTCTTTCCTAAAGAAATCTGGAGCTCTGTTTAACAACCAGACAGTAATGGAAAGGATGGTATGGGGGTTGGAAAGTAATTTGTATTAACTGTTACTACACGAACGGTAGCAGAGAGCAGTGCAGCTGTATGTATTGGTAAAATAAAGACCCAATGAAGTTTGGTGAACTGGACCATCCATGGATGTCTTGCCCTTGCTTGTTGACCTGATTCTTCTAGAATATGTAACCACTTTTCTTCTGGTTTTAGTGTTAGATATAGTTGAATCGCCCATGAAACATTTCTTTCGACATTGAAATGCCTACTGATGGTATCAAGGCTTCCATTTGGATTTGAATTCCTATATAAATAAATACGACGTTTTAATGATGCTGATATTTCTAAGCATCTTCGTTTTGATGTACTGTGTCTGAACATGCTCTTGTGGAGCGATTTACGGGTTATCGAATCATACATCCATACGAAATGCATGCTTATAATGGTTGGAGACGGCTTGAATGGATAACGAAGAAAAACTTTAATATAAGTTTAACAC